CCAGAGTTTCCGCAGTGTTTTCCAGGAGCGGCTTTATAGTTTGAGGTCTTAAATTTAGATCCTTGATCCACCTTGACTTGATTTTTGTCAAAGGAGAGAGGTAGGGGTTCAGATTCGTCTTTCTGCAAGTGGAAGTCCAATTTTTCCAGCACCACTTGCTGAAGAGGCTTTCATTTTCCCACTGCTATTTACTAAGCATTTCATATGTATTTGATCATCTTAGTAATTTTGTGAAGTATTCCTAGTGACCTTCATAAAATAAAAATCACATCTCTTCCCCTTTTTTTGGAGAGGTTTTCGCTATAGGGCGCCTGCGCTCGCCAGACAGAGACAGACATAGAGACAGAAAGCGAGAAATCACCCCCCAGGGGGGATGGTCACGCCACAATCCCTTCTCCTCCATTCTCCTCTCGGGATCTTGGGCACGCACGCACACGCGCCTGGCGTGAGTTTTAAGCCACCGGGTCCGGGACGCGAACCGCGGTCTACTACGTGGGAGTCCAGCGACATAGCCATTATGCTAACTGCTGGTTCCCACATCTCTTCTCTATTAAAAATCTTTCAGTGATTTCCAGTACATTTGGCATAAAATCCCTATCATTGCTTTTATAATAAAATCTGGCCTCAGTCTACCTTTCTAAGCTTACCTAGCATTTCTCTCCTCCTTGTCGTAAACTTCAACTTTTTTAGTCAATTTCTCCAATAGTCCTTCTGGCTCTAGCAAATGCTGTTACTTCATTTTAGGTAGCTTTTCTTCTTATTCTTCCTAGAGTAACTCCTCTTCATGTACTAAAATGTTACCTTTTCAGAGATTGTTCTTTAATCTAAATAAGGCTCCCACTGTATGCTTTGATAGCTCCCTGTATTTTTTCTTTATAACAGTTAGCCACATTATTTTACTATATATATTTTGATTACTTACTTTCTCCTCCACTGGACTCTGAATTCTATGAATTTAGAAACCCTGGCTATTTGGCTAACCACCTTGTTTATATGGAATAGCACATATATAGTGGACCTCCAATATTTTTTGAGTGAATGAATTCTCATTTATAAGGTAAACAGTCTAAGGATTTCATTGCTTAGTAACTTCTCTAAGTACTTCATATCAAGTAGATCAGAAACAGAATTGTGCTGTGGAACTTCTTTCTATAATAAATTTATTATAATTCATATCTTGCTCAAGTCTGGTTTTATGAGGTAGAAAATGTATGAGCAAAAATAATCACAGAAACAAACTGAGAATGGATGTGAAAAAAAATCATCCATAATTTAGTGTTTACCATAATTCTAGAGAACCTCTTAAGAGAAAGATAGTGTTTACAAATGTGTATGATCTCAATTGATGTGAAAATATGACCCTACTGTAGTCATAGTATGTACAATCAAGTTTTTTTCTCCTAAGTTCCTAATCACACAAAGATTTAACATTTACTAGAGATGCCCCACTTGAAAAACCCAAGCTTCATTCTCCCAGTAGGAAAAATGGTTATAAATTGTTAGAATTTTTTTAAAATAAGTATTTCAATTCTTACTTACAGCTTGATAATAATATTATATCCTCACCTTAGGAACTCTCCCTGTGTCATAAAAGGAATATGGTATTTGATTATACTAAGCATCTGTTACATCTTTAGGTCTTTGTTAAATAAAGGGATTTAAAATAAAGTTTAACTTACTGAAAAAAACATTCAGTTTTAGGGTCTGAAAACCGGAGTGGTAGGTCTTGCATACTTAGTATTGTCTGATCTTAGAGAGTCAAGTAACTTTTTCAAATTTTGGTTTTCTCTTCCTTTTATAACAAGAAATAAACAAAAAAGGTTGCCCTAATGATAAACTAATGTGAAAACACTTTGTACAAAAACCTTATATAAACATAAAACATTTATATTGTTATGCAGATGTTATTTTAATTTAAAAAGGATATCATATTTGTGGTTTTTCACATTTCTGTTGCTGCAGAGTGGAGAACAAATTGGAAGCAAAACTTGAAGCAAAGAGACACAGGCAGCTGTTAATCTGTCACTAAAAAGGTGGAGAGGTTAGCTCTGTGGTGCAGCAGTAAAGTGTTGCTCAAAAGCAGCTGGAATCCCACGTGGTGACCACAGTTTGAATCCCCAGCCCTTGTCAACCTGAAACATCCCAGGCATTTGCATGAGGGGCCTGGATCAGATGGACTGGAGGACTGAAGGAAGGGAGCTATGGCATTACCAGACCCCATGGAGAGTGCTCATCTTCTCATCTTTCTCTTTTGTCATCCCCTCACTCTCGTGTACATATACTCTAACATAAATAAAGAATAACAATAAGAATGTTTAATGATGGAAAATGGTGGTACAAAACCAAGGTGCTTTTCTGAGATGAAGAAGAGAGGTACAGACTCATAAATATTGTGAAAGTTGGGGCCCGCATGTGGCGTGATAGCTAAAACATTGTGTAATAGAGTTGGACATAAGGTTGAGGCTTCTAACTTCCTCGTAAAGTATATCAGCTAGTTTGTCTGTTCAACCTGATGGGTTATATACTTGGAGAGCCTGGCAGAGATGTGAAATAATTATTGGGAACAGAGAAGCTATGCTGTAGACAGGTTGGAGGATTGCAGGTCATTTTGAAGGATCTGAGAAATGGAAGACCATAGATCTTCAAACTCCATGAGATTTTTCTTTAGTAAATTTGAGCCCAGACAGAATTGACATTCTTCTAAAAATGCTTTCATATTGAAGATTAGTCTGTTAAAAATAGTGAGTAATAATCTAGTATGAGACCACTCTTATAAAATTCTTTGTAATCTACTGAAATGGGAAAATTATAGTAATTAACCCAGAGGCTTCAATCATAAATAAAGTGACCTTTGAAATCATACATTGGTACATTTACTTTGTAACTTTTTATATGGGAACACAATCAGATGTCTCCATCTTCTATAGAAATATTTCACCTTTGGTCTCATCTATAAAGTTCTCATCCTTTGTACAAGAAATTTATTCTTTCACAAAGCAATTAATTACTTCTCTGTTCTTTGGTGTATTCTTGGTGTTGCATATTAGTATTTAGATTAATTTTAAATGATTGCTTATCTGCAGTCTATTGGTACTAAAATTTTAACACCTACAAATAGTAAATATGTCAGTTTTAGGGGTTTTTTTTATTTGCTTATATTATCTTCCAAGATATCAGAAACAATTAACTTTACTTGGTGTTTTTTCTTTCTTATAAGATATTACCCCACTTTGATTTTTCTGGTTTATTTGCTGGTTGCTCTACTTACCAAAAGGAAAACTGAGCAGCATTCCATTGTATGTGTGTGTGTGTGTATGCCACATTTTCTGTATCCATTTATAAATGAATGGACATTTAGGTGTTTCCCCCCCAGCTTGGCTAGTTTGAATAATGCTGCAGCAAACATATATTTCTTCAAGATCCAATTTCAGTTCTTTTGGACACATACCCAGAAGTGGGATTGCTGGCTCATATGGAGTCTTATTTTTAATTTTTTGAGGAACTTCCCTACTGTTTTTCATAACTAATGTACCTACAATTTTACATTTTCAACAAGAGTGTACACTTTCTCTACATCCTCACCAATACTTGTTGTTCTTTTCTTTTTCAGTAATTGCTGAAAAATTGTTTTGATTTGCCTGATATGTACAATGTACAAGTGATAGATTGTACGTAACACCAAGTTTTCATAGCAAATATTGGAGTAGAACTGAATGCCTAGTTGAAGTAGAGCCGTAATTTTCTTTTTTCCATATGCATGATCAGTTGTCGTACTTTTTGTAGAATAGTCCATTTTTCCCTGCTGGTTTGTGAAGGTGTTTTTGACATGTTTCCTTATATACAAGGGAACTTCAAAATATTTATGGAAAAATGTATTTAAAATATGAGCTTATTTTGGTGCAGGCATATTTTGAAATCCATGCATAGTTTTTCCACAATGCACATTATCCATGAACTTTTTGAAGGCCCCTTGTGTTAGAGTCTGGTTCTTATTTTTTTAATGATATTTCATTGGTATTTTTGCTTCTCTCTATCCAGTATCACATTCTCTTCATTACAAATCTGGCACTTTACAACCTCAGGCAAGTTAATTTCTTGTCTGTTTATTTCACCTTTGAAATTATGATAACAGTAGATACCTCTTTGGGTAATTAAAGGAGTAAATTAAAGTGCTTACAATTGTGCGTGTAACTCAAGAATAAAATGCAAACATTGGTAATTTTGTCATTAGAAGTAATTTCTATAACTTAATAAAAAAATCTTGGTACTGGGGCTGGCAAGTGGCCTGGTGGTTAAGGTGTTGGACTCCTACTTGTCCAAGAACAGTTCAAGTCCTGGACCTAGCAGCTTGCTTTCTCATTTTCCCTTTCTCTCTCTCTCTGGTCAAATTTTTAAAATAGTAATAAATAAAATTAAATAAATCTTTTTAAAAAAATCTTAGTACTAAGATTACCATCTTGATTTTTCTCTTCCAAACTGTGTAGGAGGAGATACAGAGGAACAGAGAGAGGCTTAGGAAAGGATTCCCTGAGAAAGGACACTTTGGCTAATAAATGAAAGAGTACAGGAATTACCTAGATATCTTAGTCCACTTGGGCTCCTCTAGCACAGTACCAGTAAATGGCTTAAACTCAACAGAAGTTTATTTCTCACAGTTCTGGAGGCTGGGAAGATTTGCTGCCAGATTTGGTATTGGAGAGGTCCACTTTTCTGTCCATAGAAGGCACATTCCAGCTGTTTCCTTATGTAGTAGAAATGGACAGGGTGTCTCTCTGGGATCTCTTTTGTTTTATCTGCTTTATTAATGATAGAGTGCATGTATACACACATAAGAGAGAGAGAGAGAGAGAGAGAGAGAGGAGAGAGGAGAGAGGAGCATCCTTCATATGGTCCAGTCACACAGCAGTCCTCTTCCAGTACTCCCAGCCTTCTTGGATCTTTTTATTTATTTATTTTTTTGAGAGGTTTTTGCTATAGAGTGTGTGCACTCGCCAGAAAGACAGAGAGAGAAAGAAAAACAATAAGCAAGAAATCACCCACCCACCCCCCCCAGGGGGAATGGCCACGCCGCAGTCCCTTCTGCTCCATTCTCTTGGGAGCACGCACACGCGCCCAGCGTGAGTTTAAGCCACCGGGTTCAGGACTTGAACCATGGTCTACTATATGGGAGTCCAGCGACATAGCCATTACTCCAACTGCTGGTCCCAGCCTCTTGGATCTTGAGCACTCAGATGTGTGCTCAGTGTGCTTCAGGCTGACCAGGCGGGGATTTGAACTGTGGTCACGCTGTTGAATCCAGCATTTCAGAGCTGCATGTTACCACTGCACCATTGAGCTAGTCCGTGGGGACTCTTTTTCAAAGGTACAAATCCCAGTAATGAGGACTCTGTCATTATGACCTAATCATTTCCCAGAGACAGTCATCTTCTAATATCATTGGCTGGATTTTAGTTGGTGGTGGTGGTGGTGGTTTTTTTTGTTTGTTTGTTTGTTTTTTAATGCCAAAGAATGGGACCAGCAGATGGCAAAATGGTTATATCACTGGGACTCAGAGTCTTGAAACTCAAACCAGTGCCCCAAAATCCTGAGAGGAGAATGGAGGAGAAGAGTTTGCAGCATGACCACCCCCCCGAGGAGGTGATTTCTTCCTTGCTTTCTCTCTGTCTCTCCTGTGAGCACATGCACACTATAGCAAAAATCTCTCAAAAAATTTTTAAAAGTCAGAAGGTACATGTGCTTCAGAGAGAAAGAAAGCACTCTTAAGTGGGGTATGGTCGTGCCTCAGTCCTTTTCCCTCCATTTCTTGATACCATCAGAATTTCGAACACACATGTACATGTGCCTGCATGTTTTCCAAGCCACTGAGGGAGAGATTCAAGCTGCCACTGACTGGTAGGATCTGGCTTCCTATGTACATTGCTTAACCCCTTGCTGATGTGGTGGGCCTGGGGTTAAGATTTTAATATAGGGGAGGGGTTATAAACATTCAGATCTTAGTACTTCATGTTAAGAGGAGGAGGAGTATATTCTAGGCAGAAGAAACCATCAGACAAAAATGGCATCTTGAGGAACTAAAGATGGCTCTCGTAGCTAGATCTCAGCATAAGAAAAATGATACTAAGACTAGAGAGGTAGATAGGGCACATCATATAAGATCTTTCAGGCAATGTTAAGGATTTTAGACTAAATGGTAAAATCATAGTTGTAACTGTAAAAATGTATATTTTATGACTTTTTTTTTTAAGGTATAAAAATCATGGGGTATTGGACCATCAGATGGCCTAGTGGACTCCCATGTAGTCTACCACAGTTTGAGTCCTGGACCTGGTGGCTTAAACTCACTCCAGGCACGTGTGCGTGTGTGCCTGCCCATGATCCCAAGAGGAGAATGGAAGAGAAGAGATTGCAGCGTGGCCATCCCTCCTTGGGGGTGATTTCTCACATTCTGTCTCTCGGTTTGTCTGTCTCTTTCTGGCAAGCACACATACCCTATAGCAAAAACCTCCCCCCCAAAATTAAAAATCATGGAGTATTAATCTTCATAAATGGTTATATTCATTTATAAAAGAAACTCAGAAGTTTAAATTGGGGCCTTCAGGACTCTAATAGTATACCAAAGATTAAGAGTATTGCTGAGAATGTATAAATTCAATTATTCGCTCACTTATTTGTAATTTTCATGAACTATTGACTCTGTTCTGGGTTTTTATCAGTTCACATTGAAGAATATTGGAATTTTGGGAGATTTTATAGATATAGAGGTAAAGTTGTTTTTTATTTCATTGCCAGAGAGTACACATGCTCACCAGAGAAATGAGGATGGAGAGACATCCCTCAGTGGGATATGGTCACACCACAATCTCTTCTCTATTTCTCTGTTGTGATTTTGAGCACTCACACACATGCACCCAGCATGTTTTTCAAGTTTCTGGGGCCAGGATTTGAACCGTGGTCAGCCGTGCGGAATCCAGCCCCCTTAACCACTTGACCACAAGGCCAGCCTAGAGTAATTTTTATGGTGCAACAAAGCTATGTAAGTATGTTGAAACGAAATATTTTTGGATTTTTGGCTTCTTCATCTATTCTTATCTTTCTTGGGTATGCCTAACTAAAGTATGCCTTATTTCAGAAATAAATACTCCTATGTTTTCTACTTCCGTAATGTTTTATTACCACAAAATTCTATAAGATATAAGTTGCCTTTAATAGAGATATGTCCTTTTTAAATTGAAGGCAGTATTAAAAGCAATTAGGTATCATCAAATGGGAAGGTCTCTCATCATAATAGTGATAGTATTGTTATATAGAAAGTAGTCCCCCAAGATCTAGGAAAGAAAAGCGATCTAGAAATGTTGTGATAGTAGATGAATACTACCAAGCACAACTTCCATGTAACCTTAAAGGATTCATTAAGCACTTTGGGGAGATCTCATATTTTAAGAGTATCTTGATGCCAGCACATGGCATGGTGGTTGAAGCGCTAGACTCCCACATGGTCAACCGTGGTTCAAGTCCTAGACCTGGTGGCTTGAGATTCTTGCTTGGTGCATGTGCATGTGTGCCCAGTCCTGAGAGGAGAATGGAGGAAAGGTCATTACAGCATGGTCATCCTCTCTGGGTGGTGATTTCTTGCACTCTGTCTCTCCACTGAGCACAAGCACCCTATAATGGAAATCTCTCAACAACAAAAAAGAACATCTCTAATTAAAAATAAAATTTTAATACTATTCTGCTAGTAATTTTTAAGGTAAGTTTTACAAATGATATTTGTCATTCTAGTATTAATGTTACCTTAAGTCCGTATTTCTATTTTAATGTATATGCACCTATTTAAGAAAACTGATTGAGGATTCTATATTTCCATTTTAAAGGCAAAAGCCAGTAAGTATTTGAGAAAATTAAAAGGAGTCAAAATCCATCCTCCCAAATTATATCAGATTCCAACTACTCATACAAGTACTACTAAATCATTAAGGAGCAAATACTCTCTGTCCTTATAAACTACTCTTTTTGAGAGTTCCCTAATTTTGTTCAGCAGAGTAAGAAGAAAAATCTTGGTAAATACAGAAAATTTTCATCATATTCAGCACTTAACCATGATAGCCTGAACAGATGTTGAATAGACAAGAACTTCTCTGAATTAATAAACATTGTTTATCAAAAGCCTGTAGTAAATTATCTTACCTAATGATGAAACTTTAGATTTTCTCACTAAAATTGGGACAAAAATGTTTACTATTTCTTCACTTATATTAATTTAGAAGTCCTAGTCAATGATTAGAGAGGGAAGATAGGAATAGAACTAGAAAGGAAAAAGGAAAACATTATTTGCAAAGCTATATATATGTATATGTAGAACAACTTTAGAGAATCTACAACCAAATAAAACTATCAATAGTAAGGGTTCAGGAGGCTGGTGAATATAAGATTAATTTAAAAATTAATCATTTCTGTGTATCAACTGTAAAGAGTTACAAAATGTAATGGATTAGAAAAATGTAAAATTTATATAGCACAAAAGGGTGAGATTCCCAGGAATGAGTCTGATAAGATAAGATCTTTAGGTGAAAAAATTATAAAATTTATTGAAGGGGCTGGGTGATGGCACTGCAATAAAGCAATGCTCAGCCGGGCTAACCCCCATAGGAAGATTCTGGGTTTGTATCCAGAGAGCCTGCAGAACACACCAGGCATGCACATGCCCAAGATCCACTCTGGCTGAAGCTGGAAATAGGTTATGGCATGAAGACCCTTTTAGGGATACCTGTTTGTATCCTTGCCTCCCTTTTTCTCCCTGTCTCCCCCTTCCTCTCTCTCTCTCTCTCAGTCATGGAAGAAAGAATAAATTATAGAAAGATATTAGATGGTACAATATATGCACTGTCTATAGACTCAATATTGTAAAGATAGCTCCCTCCAAAATAATTTGTAAGTTTAATGTAATTCCAGTCCAAATCTTTTTTTTTTCTTTTGTTTTTTGGAGAGGTTTTTGCTATAGGGCGCATGCGCTCGCCAGACAGACAGAGAGAGACAGAGAGACAGAGAGACAGAAAGCGAGAAATCACCTCCCGGGGGGATGCCCCTGCCGCAATCCCTTCTCCTCCATTCTCCTCTCAGGATCATGGGCACGCACGCACATGCGCCCAGCGTGAGTTTAAGCCACCAGATCTGGGACTCAAACCGCGGTCGACTACATGGGAGTCCAGCGACATAGCCATTAGGCTAACTGCTGGTCATTCCTGTCAAAATCTTAATATGTTATTTTATGAAACCATAAACTGATTCTAAAATTTCTTTGAAAAACCAAATGGTCAAAAATAGCTAAGGCAATTTGCAAGAACAATAGGCTGCGAGATCTTGACTTAAAATATATCAAGATTTGTGGCCAAACGGTAACATGGTGGTAAAACCCAGTCCCCTGAAAGGTAGTCTTTAGTGGGAAGGTTCACAGTTAAAGAGACCTTTCTGAATATGCAGGGCATGTGTTTGCCCATGATCCAGGGCTGGCTGAAAGCTGGGGTGGATATCGCAATATCAGGACTTTGTTGGAGGGTGCTGTCTCTCTCCTGCCCTCCCTCCCTCTCTCTCTCACACACACATTAGTGTCACTCTTAGTCATGGAAGAAATAAATAAACTTTTTTAAAAATCAAAATTAAAGTAATGGATTATGAAATTGACACAATGACAGACATAGATTAGTAGGGGAAATATCTTAATATAACATGTTTGCAAAGAGCAAATCAAATGTCTGAATATCTTGCTTAAATTGTAAGAAAGGGAAAGTAAAAAAATTTTAGTGCTTGATAATCAAATAAATATAATTTTCTTTATCAGTTTCGCATAATTAAAGTCATTGCTAGTCTAGTCTTTTTATTTTTAAAAACTGGCTTTTTTTGAAGACTTGGTCCTTCAATTCTTTTCTCAGAGATCTTAAATTTCACAGTGCGGGGGCTTTCAATTGCATAACCCTGACAGTGGGTTTAGAGTACTGGTACATAGTTAATTCTGCATATCCACTTTTATGTAATTAAATTGCTTATGAATATTCTTTAAGAATTATGATGTTTTGTTAGGTTGATGCCATTGCGTAAGCTTTTCAGACACAACTATGGGTTTTTATTCCTATAATGCTATGTATGGTAATGACAAGCATTAGTCTGATCTACACCTTTTTTTATCTCTATGATTACATATATGAGTTTTAAACATCTCATTAACTTTTACTTGTTATTTTGTTTGTATTTCAACTGGTTAAATATGGGGAAAGTGTTTCTGTAAAACATTTAAAATAATTATGAACCGATGGCAAAGCAGTATTTCATAGTGAATACATGGTAGTCAGAATAAATTTGCAAAGTATTTTTGGTTTCTGGCAAAATTTTTTATGCCTCCCTTACTAGCAAACACTTACTTTACTTTTCTGACACTGGCCATCTGATGAGAGGCTGATACTGAGTAGTTGGAAATATAAATAGAATTTCAGTAATACTTATGGTACTTGGTGCGTTATACTTTTGAAATCCTTCCGAAATCAATCCTGCTTTCCTCAGCAGATTTTACTACTATGTGTAGAGTAGTTTTAGATAATTTTTTTATTGGTAAAGAAGCTTATTTTTTTTTCTTTAAGTTTTTGCCACGGGGTGTGTGTGTTCACAGGAGTGAGACAGAGAAAGACAGTGAGAAGGGGAAGTGAGAAATCACCTTCATTTTCCTCCTGGGATTCTGAGCATGCATGCACATGTGCCAGGTATGAATTTCAAGCCTCCAGATATGGGACTCGAACCATTGTTAGCCATGTGGCCACTAGTTCCAAGGCTTGATTATTTTTAAGTGTTTTAGTTTTATTATAATTGTTATCAGCCTTGTAAACTCTTAATAATCAGCTTTCCTTTACCTCTAGGAAGATAATAGTAAAATATATAAAATTAACATACTATTTAAAGTTCTTGTAAAAGAACTATTTTTTACATTTCTATTTTACTACAGTGCATTTAAATTTTGCTTTGTTCATTCTTGTGATTATTTGAATTCTTGTCCATTTGACAAATATTTTCTTAAATACCTATGTTTTTAAATTTTTATGTCAATACTGGTTCTCAAATAGTAAAAATATTTATAGAACAATAGAAATAATGCTTATTGGGGGCCAGCAGTTGGCATAATGGCTATGTCGCTGGACTCCCATGTAGTCAACCGTGGTTCGAATCCCGGACCCGGTAGCTTAAACTCACGCCGGGCACATGTGCATGCGTGCCCAAGATCCCGAGAGAAGAATGGAGGAGAAGGGTTTGTGGCATGGCCAGCCCCCCCCCCGGGGGGGGGCAATTTCTTGCTTTCTGTCTCTGTCTTTCTGGCGAGTGCACACTATAGCAAAATCCTCTCGAAAAGAAAGAAAGAAAGAGAGAGAGAGAGAGAGAGAGAGAGAGAGAGACAAAGAAAGAAGGAAAGGAAAGGAAAGGAAAGGAAAGGAAAGGAAAGGAAAGGAAAGGAAAGGCAAGGCAAGGAGGAAGGAAGGAAGGAATTGAAGCAATGTATTTTTCTTCCAAATTCTAAGTGGAATTATTCTCAAGAATCCTTTGAAGGAGGCATGTACTTCTTTTTTTTTTTTAAGGTTTATTTGTTTCTCTCTTGGGGGGTAGGAGCACTCCCAGCAGGATTTTCACATGAGATTTACCTGCAGCCTTAGCCAGCCTGGATCATAGACATGTATGTGTACACCTGGAATGTCCAGGGAGACCTCAGTATGCAAATCCAAGATATGGATTTTGGATTTGTGGGTTCAGTATTACAAAGCGTTTCATTTCCACTGCGCCACCTGGCCATTTACATTAATATAAAATGAAATAACGAAGATAGAAAGCTCTCTTTCTATTCCTGTATTTCCAGGTATTTTCCTTAACCAATTTCTTTTCTCTTCTAGGTACCTAGTTGATAGTCGCTGGTTCAAACAGTGGAAAAAATATGTTGGCTTTGACAGTTGGGACAAATACCAAATGGGAGATCAAAATGTATATCCTGGACCCATTGATAACTCTGGACTTCTCAAAGGTCATTACTCTCTTCCTTCAATCAAGTTGTAAATGTCTTAAATTTCCATATGTATATGTCAATGAATGTACTACATGAAAAAGGAATGAAATAAGCTGATAAGTTAGAAGTTTTTTGTATTATAGATTTGACTTGATAAACTCAGATAATTCTAATAGATATTCTGTATTATGACAAAGTTTGTTTTTTATTTGTGATATATTAGGATTTATTATTGTTTAAACCTTTATGTGAGGGATGAAAATTAGAAAGCACTGTTATTATGAGGAGATGCTGTATCACGTAGTGTTTTTCCTAATAGACATGACTTTTTTTTTCAAAGAGGCTTTTACCTTAGTGTGCATGTGTTCACTAGAGAGAGAGACAGACAGACAGACATAGTCAAGAGAAAGTGAGAAATCATCCCCCAGGGGGGATAACTACATCAGAATCCCTTCTCCTCCATTCTCCTTCTGGGATCTTGGGTACACACTCACACACACGAGAGCCTGGTGTTATTATCAAGCTGCTGCCTCGGGGACTCAAACTGTGGTCAGCCATATGTGAGTTCATTGATATAACCACTACACAATCTGCTAGTCCCAAGACATGACATTTTCTTAAAATTTAGCAACACCGATAAATATTTAGATTCTTAAATTAACATTCTATAACTTTCATGATTTGCCAGCTCTTCTATACTCTTAATTACATTTTAAGGGACTAAAACATAAGTATTAGAATTTTAGTTTCTGGTAAAGAAGATGCATAGGTTAATGAAGAAATCAAAAGGGAAGTTAGAAACTAAATGAAAATAAAGACAGAAACTTCAAATTTATAGAAGACAGCTAAAATAGTATATAGAGGTAGAATTTATAGCACTGAACCCTTGTGAAGAAAAGAAAGGTCTCAAAGCAGTGACCTTGATTTCCAACTTTTGAAAGTATGAAATTAAGAACAAATTAAAACTAAAGTGAGCAGTGGAAAGGAAATAATAAATATCAGGACACAAATTAAATAGAAAACAAAATAGAGAAAACCATTACAACCAAAAGCTTCGTTTGTGAAGGTCAACAAAAGCAATGTGTCCATATTAACTCATCACAGAAAAAGGTAATTGTCAATATCAGGAACAAGGCAGATTATCAATACAGAACCTACAAATATTTTGAGGGCATATTAGGAAGTTTATGTCTTTTATTCAACAAATTAGATAAAAATATATATATTCCTTGATAGATGCAAATAAAAACTCATTTCAGAAGGGTAGATAGCCTGAAAAATTGAATTTTTAGTTTAAAATTTTTCCATAATTAATTCCATACTCAGATGACACTACTAATATCAAATATTTAAGGGAAAAATAATAGTAATTCCACAAAAACTCTTCCAAAAATTAATAAGGACTACTTCCCAACTCATCTTGTGAAATCATTACCTTGGTCCCATAATTTGACAGATATATCTCAAAGAAAAAACTAGACTAATATCTCTCATAAACATAGATAAAAAAATTCTTAACAAAATTTTAGCAAATCGGGGAACCAGCAGTTAGCGTAATGGCTATGTCGCTGGACTCCCACGTAGTCGACCACGGTTTGCGTCCCGGACCCGGTGGCTTAAAACTCACGCCGGGCGCATGTGCGTGCGTGCCCAAGATCCCGAGAGGAGAATGGAGGAGAAGGGATTGCGGCGTGACCATCCCCCCTGGGGGGTGATTTCTCACTTTCTGTTTCTGTGTCTCTCTCTGGCAAGCGCATGTGCCCTATAGCAAAAACCTCTCCAAAAAAAAAAAAAAAAGTTTACCAAATCAAGTCCAATGATAAGATTTTATTTGTATGTATGGATACACACACAAATATATAAAATACAAGTATATATTTTAAAAAGTAGTATTTCAAGTTAGATAAAAAAGTAAAATAGAAGAAAGCTTCCTCAACCTTATAGTTGGCATCCGTAAGAAACTTATAGGTGACCAGCTCAAGGGTGGAAGACTGCTTCTCCTAAGATGAAGGAAAACGGAGAGAATATCCACTCTCAGCTCTTCAGATCAACATTGAACTAGGGGTTCTAGCCAGTACAGTAAGGAAAAAAGAGATGAATGACATACAGATCATACAGGAAGAAGTAATAAAACTGCCATTATTCATAGACACCTATGTCTATGTAGAAAATTCAGTGGAATAAAAAAAAAAAGAAAAGAAAAACAGCAGCAAAACAAAAGCCACTAGAACTAAAATAAGTTTAGTTTACAGGATACAAAATCATTATTTAAAAATCTGTTCTATTTCTGGCCTGCTTCAGTGGCTTAGTGGTAGCTCACTAACTATTTCATAATGCTGGCTTTACCTGAATTTTCAAGTTTCAATCCCTGGGTCATTCTGTACTTGCCAGGTGTATGTTTGTATGCCCATGAACCTGGTTCAGGGGAGGATTGTGGTAGGAAACCCTGTTGAGCATTCCTCTCTCTCTATCTGCCACGCTAGAGGAAGAAATAAAGTAAATATAAAAATCTATTTTTTTTAATTGCTAGAGGATACATGCACTCACCAGAGAGTATATGAGAGAGAGAAGGCACCCTTCAGTGGGTATGGTCATACTACAGTCCTTTTTTTTCTATTTTTACATCCCATCAGGATTTAGGGTATAGAAGCACTTGGGTCCAGGATTCTATGGTTGGTCATGTGGGATCCAGCTCCCAATGCACAGAATTAACCACTGTAAGTGGTTAAGCCACAGTGGCCAACTATAGGGCTGACTCATCTGTTGTATTTTTTATACCCTACAATGAGTGACCATAGGCCTGGTGGTGTGGTTAAGGTGACTGGATCCCATATGTCTGACTGGTTGAAGTCTATGTGCTTGAATGCCCAAAATCAACGGAAGAATGGAGGAGAAGGGATTGCATTTTTTTTTTTTAATGAAGTAACAACTAAAATTTTTAAAATGTATTTTATAATAGCATCAAAACATTCAAAATATTTAAGGATAAATCTGGCAAAATATGTGCAAGTCTTATACACAGAAGACTGCAAAACCTTGCCGAAAGAAATTAAAACCAAAGAGAGAAATTGTTAGTAGATCATAAAGCTTGATATTTATTGTTGTTATTGTCCTTTTCTCTTTACGTAATCTGTAGATGTAACACAATTACAAATCTCATTCCTACTGTCCTTTTTAATAATGGAGATTGAATTTGCCTACCATAAAATTCATCCTTTTAAATCATATCATTCACTGATTTTTAGAATACATTTTACCATTGAACAACTTCGGGTTTATGAGTGCCAATTCTCCCTGCCTTACACAGTCTAAAATGTATGTATAACTTTTGACTTCCCCACAACTTAACTGTTAGGAGTAAATTGTTTATCAGCTTTATTGATAATATGAAGTTAATTAACATATATGTTTTGCATGTTATATGTATTATATACTATATTAGAATAAAGTTAGAGAAAATAAAAGTTATTAAAATTACAAAGAACAGAAAATATATTTACAGCACTATACTGTATTTTTCAATATATATATTGAAAAAAAAATTGCATACATGTGGACCCATGCAGTTCAAACCTATGTTCAGGAGGCAACTGTATCCACAAAGCTGTTCAAGAATCACCACCATCTTATTTCACACTTTCTTCACACCAGAAAGACACTTCATACCTGTTAACAATCGCACCTTTGCCAGTCTCCACCCTCACCCCAGCCCTAGGCAACCACTTATCTACTTGCTGTCTCTATCGATTGGCTTGTTCTGGACATTTCATATGAATGAAATCATAAAATGTGTGTCTTTTATGTTTGACTTCTTTCTTTAGGAAAACGTTGGCACTTTGCTGCAGATGTAGCATAAATCAGTATTTCATCTTTCTATTGCTGAATAACTTTTTATTGTATGGATATAATACATTTACTTTATCCATTCATAATGGACATTTGAGTTTTCACTTTTTGGCTATAGTGAATATTGTTATTGTAAATATTGTATGGATCTATTTTTTTTCCTTGTGGGTGTATATCTAGATGAAGAATTAATGGGTCATAGTTACTCTATTATTTAACTATTTGAGGAACCATTAAACTGTTTTCCAAAATAATTGCATCATTTTACATTGCTGCCAGCAATTTTATGAGGGTTATGGTTCTTCCACATCCTTGTCAGCACTTAGTATTGTGTGTTTCTTTTTATTATAATCATCCTAGTGTCTATGATGGGTGTGAAGTGATTCATACTTTCATTTCCCTAGTGATTAATGATGTTAAATATCTTTTCCTGCGTTCTTATTTAGGTAAGTCATTTATCTTTTTTTTTTTTTTTTTTAAGAGTTCTTTATTTATTCTGGGTACAATACTGTTATCAGATAATATGGTTTTTAAAATTTGTTTTCCATTCTTTGGGTTGTCCTTTTAACTTTCTTGGCAGACTTTTTATTTTTATTTTATTTTTTTTTTTTTAAGACAAAGTCTCACCGTGTCTCATTTCTCCTGCCTCAGCCTCCCAGGTGGAACTATAGGTACACATCACCATGTTCAGTTCTTTTTTAGACAGGGTATTGCCCTGTTGCCCAGGGCAGCCCACACACTCATAGTCCTCTTGCCTTAGTCTCCCTAAGTCACTGGGATTACATGTGCACACCACCACATGGGAATTAAATCCAGGCCCTTTGTGTGGTCCTCACCTGTGGAGCACAGGGTTTTAACAGCATATCCCAGCAAGTCTGGCCCATTTGACAGTGTTTTGGGGAGCATAAAAGTTTCTGATTTTGGTGAATCTAATTTACCTTTTCTTTTTTTTTTAAAGTTATTATTCTACAAGAGAGAGGGAGGGGGAAAGACATCCCCATCAGAGTCTTTCTGCCATGATCTAAGCCTAGCCTCAGCCACTCCAGATCATAGGCATGCAGGTATATACCCATGTGCACAATATACACAGGAAGGTCTTAGGACACAAACTCCAGACCCACTCATGATCCACTTTGCAGAGCATTTCACATTACTGCTGCACCACAGACTGGCCCTTATGGGTTTTACCCTTGTTGCTTATACTTTTGACACCTGAAAATGTTGTCCAAACCATATTCAAAGATATTTACACCTGTATTTTCATCTAAGAGTTTTGTTTTTTGTTTTTGTTTTTTTTTTTAGTTTTTCAGGCTTGTTTTTTGTTTTTTGTTTTTTTTTTGTTTGTTTTTCTTTTTTGTTATCGGGTTCAAGCACTTGCCAGAGAGACAGCAAGAAATCACCTCCAGGAAGAATAGCTATGCCACAATCCCTTTTCCTCCATTTTCCTTTTGGGATTTTTGAGTATACACACACACACACACATACACACACACAGTGTGAGTTTCAAGTTACTGGGTCCAGGATTCAAACCAGGGTCAGCCATGTGAGGATCCAGTATATTATCAACCATGCTACTTCTGGTCCCTCTTCTAAGAGTTTGTTTTTTGTTTTGTTTTGTTTTGTTTTGAGAAGTTTTTGCTATAGGCACATGCACTTGCCAGACAGACAGAGAGACAGAAAGCGAGAAATCACCCCCAGGGGGGATGGTCATGCCGCAATCCCTTCTCCTCCATTCTCCTCTTGGGATCCTGGGCACGCACGCACACGCGCCCGGCGTGAGTTTTAAGCCACAGGCTCCAGGACGCGAACTGCGGTCGACTACGTGGGAGTCCAGCGACACAGCCATTACACTAACTGCTGGTTCCCATCTTCTAAGAGTTTTATATCTTGTGGATCATAGTGTTAAGACCCTGTCAGGGTGCTATCTCTGTCTGTTTTTCTCTTGCTTATGGAAGAAGAAATAAACTTTTTAAAAAAGGAATAAAAAAAGGAATAAACTGTTGATATTTAAAAACATGGCTGGATCTCAAAATAATTATGCGGCATGAATGAAGCCAAACAAAAAAGAGGACATACTATTTTTAAGGGAAAAATGCAAATTTGTCCATAGTAACAGAAAGGAGGTACTATTTTTATGTAATATTCTAGAAAATGTAAATTAATGCATATTCGTCTATAAATGTAAGCATGGTTTATTGGTTTTCTGGAAAAAGGACCGTGGAACCTGAATAAGCAGGATGGAGCAGTTACAGAGCGCTACTGGGAGATCGTGGAGATGTTGGATATATGTTCATCGTTTTGGTAGTGATGAGGTTTTCATGCTTGTACTGATATGTCAAATATATCAGATTATATAAATATGTGCAGCTTATCGTACAGTAATTATTTGTCAGTATACACAGAAGTAACAAATATCAGTTCTGTATTTAGTTTGAGGGTGTTCTCCCTTAAAAATGAGTGTTTTATTCTGTCTACTAGATATGTTAGTTTTTAGATTGTATTACATAATAAAGTCATTTACCTGAACTCTGAAGTTATGGGACCAAAGAGCATAGCAGTCTCAATTTGTAAACTTTTCTTTCATTTCCTAAGTTTTCTTCAAGGCACTGTGTCATTAATATAATGGAAAGAGTAAACAGATTTTTGTTTGAATTGCATCTACAATTTTCCATGTTTGTAGCAAGTTATTCAACATTCCTGAGGAATGAGGAATGAGACCTCCTTTATAGTGTTATTTTGAAAATTAACTGACTTGACATGGTTTGCTATAATAAAAATTTCACAATACCTTTATTTCCCTGTATATGGCAGAAGACAAGTTACTCGATATCCCTGAATATATATTTTAAGCTAAAATGGAGATCTTTATCTTATAGGGTTTTGAGGATTGACTGAGATGACATATATGTCTCCTGTACACAAGACATAATGACTTGGAATATGCCCATTTCTTTCACCTTCAGACAGTTTCCGAAAATACGTTCCAAATTAACAGATTCCATCAGCAATTTAAAAGTTAATAACTAAGGTTTTAAAAAACTGGCTTAAAAATTAATATTTAGTTTATATGTACTATTGACATTTATGTTATAAAATTCAGTTTTCCCATTTCTGTTCTATAGAAAACATAGGTTCCTCAAAGATTAGTGTGATTCTATGGCCACAGATTGATTCTGGAAAGAATAGATCACTTCTGTTAATCTATCTAGCATTTTTCTTTCTTTTTTGATTTATATTGTTAAATCTTTTTTATTTTTAGGGTTTTTTTTTTTTTTTTTTTGGGTTTTTTTTTTTTTTTTTTTTTTTGCCTTAGGATACATGTACTCCAGAGAGAGAGACAAAGACAGTAAGAGGGGAAAGTGAGAAGTCACCCCCGCAAGGGGAATGGCCATGCCACAATTCCTTCCTCTCCATTCTTCTCCTAGGATCTTGGGCATGCATGCACACCTGCCTGGCATGAGTTTCAAGGCACCAGGTCTGAGACTTGAGCTGTGGTTGGCCATATGAGAGTCCAGAAATGTACTCTACTCCACCTGCTGGCCCCAAATCTTTTTTTTTTTTAAAGAATTATTTATTTAATTTTATTTGTTTATTTCAATTTGGTACAAGACACATGCACTCATGAGAGACAGAAAGTGAGAAAGCAAGCTGCCAGGTCTGGAACTCAAACCGTGGTTGCCCATGGAGCCCAGTGTACTAACTACCACGTCACCTACTGGCCCCTATATTGTTAAATCTTATTAGGAAAGTATGTTTTCATTATTGAAATATTACCAAGAACATTTTTGCTTCCCCATGTCTGTTAGTTAAGATTATCTTAGAGTAAGGAAATCTCCATTAAGTTGGATATAATTCATTGAGTTGTTTCCATTTCCCTTTTTTAAAATTTTTAATTTTTTATTGTTAGAGAGCATGTGCCATTGCCAGAGAGAGCCCAATAAGTAGACAGAAAAAGAGATAAAGCACCCTACAATGGTGTCTGGTCACATCACGATCCCTTCTCTGTTTCTGCATTTTGTTGGGATTCAGGGCTCACACACATATGCATGCTCATTGTGTTTTTCAAGCTGCCAAGGCCAAGATTAGAACTGTAGTCATCCTTGTGGTATCTAGCTCCCTTAACCACTAGGTGCTGGGACCAGTCTTAGCTGTTTTGTATCTGTACTTTGGAAATTCAAATCAGCAGATAACAAACGAGTCTCACATTAGGACTGTGATGTAAAGATAACTCAAGAAATTGTTTCTACAGCTCTGGCCTGCCCTGTGCTAAATTTCCTAATTTAACTTGAGATTTTAAACTGTATCATAGAATTATAACAACATCTGAACTGTTACCATTTTTTAGATCTTGGGAGGAATCAAGATCGTGGTCCCTCTTGTATAATGAGATGGTTCACAAGATGTCATTTTGTGGTGCTCATCATGGTTCCCAGAACATGTGTCATGGAGTCATTTTTAAAAAGATACTGATTTGTTTCTGAATTTCCTACATCAGTTGATGCTAGAATGACCTGTATTACCACACGAGAGATCGCTGGTACTTGAAATATTTTAGAAATATTCCTCTGTCAAGTGTCTTGGCTAACAACAATTATACCTTAGTGTTTTGTTTTTATTAGCCTAATACAAGATAAATTATGTTTTAAATACTGCTTGTAGGCTACTAGTATATTTTAAAAATTTATAGTTATATTTTAGTATGAAAAAAAGTAGAGAATTTGAACTTCTTCTGATCTTTTTCCAAAACTTAATTTTTTAGAGAGATTTTTGCTATAGGGCATATGCCCCCACCAGAGGATCAGAGAAAGACAGAGAGACAGAAAGTAAGAAAGAAATCACCCCCAAGGGGGAAGTGGATATGCCACAATCCTTCTCCTCCATTCTCTTCTCGGGATCTTGGGCACACACGCACACGCATCAGGCATGAGTTTCAAGCCTCCAGGTCTGGGACTCGAACCACAGTCATCCATGTGGAGTCCAGTGATGTAACCATTATACCATCGGCTAGTCCCCAAAACTTCTTAAATATTTATATGGGTCTTCTGGAGTTTAGTGAATTTGTAATGTGTACAGCTAAAGTTTTTAGAAGTGTGTACTGTTATTTCTTTGTCTGTATTGAGTTTATTTTTTTCTTTTGCAGATGGTGATGCCCAGTCACTCAAGGAACATCTTATTGATGAATTGGATTATATACTGTTGCCAACTGAGGGCTGGAATAAACTTGTCAGCTGGTACACATTGATGGAAAGTCAGGAGCCAATAGCACGGAAGGTACATTTTCCATATAACACAGTATAAATATTATTTTTCTCAAATAATTACTATTTTACTGTTAACTCAATAAAATACAATGCCTTGTTACTTATCTCAGGGAAGAAGACTTGTAAAATTTTACTGTACTGTATTATCATAATAATATAGAGGGTTGGGAACCAGCAGTTAGCGTAATGGCTATGTCGCTGGACTGCCACGTAGTCGACCGTGGTTCACGTCCTGGACCCGGTGACTTAAAACTCACGCTGGGCGCATGTGCGTGCGTGCCCAAGATCCCAAGAGGAGAATGGAGGAGAAGGGATTGCGGCGTGACCATCCCCCTGGGGGGTGATTTCTCGCTTTCTGTCTCTATGTCTCTCTCTGTCTGGCAATCACACGCGCCTTATAGTGAAAATCTCCCAAAAAAAAAAGAAAATAGTAAAAAAAAATAAATAAAAAATAATATAGAGGGTTTAAAATATGCTAGCCATTGTTCTAAGGACATTCATAATATTAACTAGTTAAATCCTCACAGAAAATGTGAAAAAATTATAGATTTAATATTTGGGTATAATGCTAGAACTAAAAATATTAGGTTGTTGGGAAAGTCATGATGTATTTTTGCATAAAAATTTGAAAAATGCATCATAACTTTCCCAGTAACTGAATAGAATTTGTAATGTAAGGTCAGTGAATGGCATGGTGGTTCATGTGACTGAATCCCCCATGGCCGACTGCACAATTCAAGTCCTAGACTCCTGTGACTTGAAAACATACTGGACATTTGTGCAGGCATGCCCAAAATCCATAGAGGAGAATAGAGAAAGGATTGCCGCGTGGCCATCAACCCTGGGAGGTGCTTTCTCGCTTTTTTCTCTCTATCCGAGTGCATAAACCCTGTACCAAAATTATTTAAAAAAAGAATTTGTATACTAAATGATATATAAGTAGAAAATATATAGTCTAAAACTTAGACAATGATTGGAAAATATGAAGGCATACATGAAATATAGTGATAAGCAAACATACATATATGCATATATGAGAGGACTTGAAAATGTGTAGAAAAATGGAAATAAAGTACAAGTATATTTTGGTGCTGAAAAAAATTTAAATCTGTACACAGTTGTTTTGTTTTTGTTTTTGTTTTTTAGAGGTTTTTGCTGTAGGGCACGTGCGTTCGCCAGACAGAGAGACAGAAAGCGAGAAATCACCCCAGGGGGATGGCCACGCCACAATCCCTTCTCCTCCATTCTCCTCTCAGGATCTTGGGCATGCACGCACATGCGTTCGGCGTGAGTTTTAAGCTACCGCGTCCGTGACGCAAACTGCAGTCAACTACGTGGGAGTTCAGCAACATAGCCATTACGCTAACTGCTGGTCCCTGTACATAGTTTTTTGATAATGCACATTTTTATGAACTTTTTGAAGACCCTTTGTAATTATAATCTTAGAGAAGAAAGAGAGAATGGGATAGCACTAATACTTGAGAAGGCAATAGTTAAGACTTTTCTCAAACTATGAAAGGTACCATGCTACAGATTCAAGAAATGCTGTAAATCTCAAACTGGAAAATACAAATAAAATCATACCGAATAAATATGTTGAAAAATAAAAGAAGAAAGACTTTCTTAATACTGGCCAGAGAAACTGACGTATTATCTTCAAAGTAAGATAAGACAAATAATTTCTAAAGAGAACTCATAGATGGCAGGAAACAATAGACTGTCTTCAGCATACTGGAAGAAAGTAATTGCCAACATGCAATTTTATGACCAAAGAAAGAACTCTTTAAAAATGACAAGGAAAGGGGAACCAGCAGTTAGCGTAATGGCTATGTCGCTGGACTCCCACATAGTCGACCGCTGTTCACGTCCCGGACCTGGTGGCTTAGAACTCACGCCGGGCGCGTGTGTGTGCATGCCCAGGATCCCAAGAGGAGAATGGAGGAGAAGGGATTGCGGCGTGACCATCCCCCCTGGGGGGTGATTTCTCGCTTTCTGTCTCTATGTCTCTCTCTGTCTGTCTGGCAAGCACACACGCCCTTTAGCGAAAAATGACAAGGAAAAAAAAAAAGCTATTGTTAACCAAAAACAGAACTGATAGAACCTGTTACAAGCAGACTTCTACTGAAGAAATACAAAATAATCTTCAGAATACAAGAAAAATTATTCCATATGAAAGCCTAGAGACACAGAAAATAATGTAGACTGACAAAAAGTAAATCTTAATATGTACTCTTTAAAAGATTAGTAATAACTTGTGGGATTACAGTTGCATATAAAAGTAAACTACACAACAATATTTGCATGTAAGTTGAGATAATAGCCTCCAAGATGTCTCCCAGTGATCCCTGGCTCCTCACGTTCATGTCCTTGGGTAGACCATTTGCAATTTGCAGCAAGGTTGTCTCTGACCAATAGCATATAGCAGAACTCATGGTTTATCACTTTCAGGATCAGGCGATGAAAGATCTCACAGTTTACATTTTTGGGATACACACATTCTAGCTTGCTTTGTTTTTCATTTCTCACATGAGTTTATTCAGTTGCATCTGATGAGGCCACTCAGCCACGTTATAGAGAGGCCCACATGATGAGGAACTGAGATCTCTGGCCAGCACAGAGGAATGGAGACCTTACAAAAATTATGTGAGTGACCTCAGAAGTAGATTTTCCCATCTTAGTTGAGCTTTCAGATGACCGAAGTGCCCATAGGTAGATAAAAATTTCATGAGAGACCGCAAGCCAAATAACTCACTCCACCCTCAAATTCTTGACACTCAGAAACAATGTTATTTTAATATTTGCTGGGGGGTTTTTTTGTTTTTTTTTTTTTGTTTTTGGGGGGTTTTTTTGTTTGTTTTTTTGTTTTGTTTTGTTTTTTTGCTAAATTGGGGGGCAATATATTGTGTAGCAATAGATAATTCATACTGGGTTTGACACCTGGAAGTAAGGTCCTGACATCATAAAAACTTGATATGTGGTGGTGGCATTAAAACTGGACAGTAGATGGAGGTTAAAAACTTTTAAGTGAATTAATGAAAGCTTAAAGGGCCTTAAACAAACTGTTAATAGAATTTTAGCCTTTGAAGAGCTGCCAGTGAATACTTAAAAAATAATTGGAGGAAATATTACTGGAAACTAGAGGAAGGCAATCTCTGTTATGTAGTGGCAGAAAATTTAGTAACCTGTCAACTATAGTAAACTAAAGGTAAAAAATTATCTAATCATATTTTTAATTTGCCAAAGTGTTCACAGTATTGCCTACTTTCTTCTCATACTGTTTATAGTCAGATATAAGACAAAAAACATAAGCTGAAGAAAGGACTATTAAATGAAACCGAAACAGAGCCAAGATTTACTAGGTTTGAAGATTCCTTAGGAAGTGTTTCTTAGCAAGATCAAGCTCATAACATTCTCAGGAAAGCATGATCTAAAACTGAAGCCAGTGTTATTATAAAGTCACTTTGGAAAAATCAAAGGTTGTACCACACTATACTATTCAGACAGAAGGCCTTGTGAAATAGTTAAGGGTATAGTTAAAGGTTGTCTTCTCAATAATATTAAATGTATCCCCAATATGTAGCTTCTAAGAACAATAAGATTTCTAAGAAGATTAAGGGCAGTCCCTCAGCCTTGTCAGCATAAAGCTGAGGGAGTCTCCAACCCCTGGTCCTATTAGGAACTGGCCGCACAGCAGGAGGAAAGCAACAAGCCATGAAGCTTCATCTGTATTTTTAGCCACTCTCCATTGCTCACTTTGCCTCCTGAGAACCACCTCCTTTAATATCAGGGATAATATTAGATTCTCATAGGAGCATGAACCCTATCATGATCTATATAGGGTGCTCGCTCATTATGAGAATCTAATGCCTGTTGATCTGGGGTACAGCTGAGGTGGTAATGCTAGTGCTGGGGCACAGCTACAGCACTGATTCATATTAGCAAAGAAGTTTGCACAGAGACCATAATAAATCAACTGCTTGCAAATTCAAAACCCTATCAGTGAGTGACACATGATGATTAAGATGCATCTGGTGGCAGGCTTTAAGCCAGAATCTAGCACTTATGTTAGTCCATACATGGCCCACCCATTATTTTATTTACCACTTCTAGCCATGCTTCTTTCCTGCATTGCGCACTTTTGTCTCAGTCATAGTGTTGGTAAGCTAACCCACAAGCTAACCCTAACCAAAATGAGTAAAAATCAAATGTCTAGTAGCTGGAAAACAAGTTCAGATTCCCAGTGATCCTTAATTATGGTGAGTTGTGTAATTATTCCATTATACGTTACAATGTAATAGTATTAGAAATAAAGTGCACCTTGTAATGTGCTTGAATCATCTTGCAACTATCCCTACCCCCGTCCCTGGAAAAACTGTCTTCTATAAAACTGGTCCCTAGTGGCAAAAAGGTGGGGAACCTCTGTTCTAGAGGACATTTGTGCATATGACTTTGTTTAATGGAATGAACTCCAGTAAGATCCAGTAGAGAGCTACTATAGATTTGAGATAATTATGTCACAGAACCACTGCCATCTTGGACTGCCACAACAGTTTAAAGAAGCCATTGACCTCCCAGACTTTTCAAGCGGAAACTAGGGTGTGAATCTACTCAACTGCAAACATGTGCTAGTTCATGATAAAAGGGTTACGCAGAGAGCAGAGTCAAATGTCATAAAGAGTCATTTTCAGGCAAAGATAGAACTGTCCCAGTCAAAGAACTTCCGGAATTTGCGCAGGTAGATTCATAATAGCTATGGACCACTGGCTGATTTGTACCTCCCATTTTCTCTTTTTTAAAAGAAGAATACTTAGGGCCTGCTGGCAGTGTGATGGTTAAAGCAGCCGGATCCTGCTTGGCTGGCCACACAGTTCAAGTCCCAAACCCAGTGGCTTGAAAAACATACCAGTCACGTGTGCGTACATTTTCCAAATCTTAAGAAGAGAATGGAGAAGGGATTGTGGCATGCCCATACCCCTGAGGGGTGAGAAAGCACTCCTGTCTCCAGTGAAC